CACAGTAGTTCAAATGAGCCCAAGAAGGCATAGGAACTCTGGAATATGACAGTAAATGTCTTAATTACTATAAAAGAGATGGCTAGATTGCATGAAGAAATATTATATGTGAATCCTTCCAAACAGGGCCCTGTTGGACTTTTACTGGAGGTGTTCAAACAATGCCTCCAGTAAAAGAGGATTAATTTGGGACAAAGCTTTGTCCCAAATTGAGTTTGTCCTGCTTTGTCCTGAATTAATTTGATACCCTTGGATCCAGGCCTTCCTGACAGGCCCAGGACTAATAGGGTATGGGCCCTGTGAGTCAGTTACAACAGCCTATCTCAATTTGTAGGGCCCCATGAGCCCAGAGAACTGAAGAGGGTACCCCCCTCCCCAACTTCACATAAAAAATAAAAATAAAAAACTTAGCAGGCCACCATGACACCTCTCTGGAGGTCTCCAGGCACATAGAAATGACAGACCAAGAGGCAGGGAGGGGAAATTGCTATTGCCCCTCACCTCATGTCATATTATTTCTATATGCTAGAAGGCTTTCAGAGATGCATCATGGCAACCTGGTAAGTTTTTTCTTATTACAAAGGCATTTTGGGATTTTTTTTGAGAGAGAGAGAGAGTAGTCCCATGCCATCATGGTACTCACAACAATGGCATGAGGGCAGCCATCTGGGAAAGCCCAGGTTTTGGGTGATGTGTAGAGACTTAAACACACACTGAAGCAGGTTTCTTAAACCCATTTTGGCACGGGTTTATGAGAATCTAGAAGTACCCTGTGCCTCCTATAGGTGTTGAGTTTCACACTTCAAAAATAAAGAATTGTTGAATGTTCAGACACATAGCTGTCAATAACATCAATCATCAAAATCCATTCTTTTTTTTAGATTAACATGGTTTAAAGGAGAATTTGAATTTACAGACATCAGAGAATACTTATAATAGTTTATATATTCTGCAAGCCACATTAATCTCTTTTTGTGAAAGGATATAAGATAAAATAACTTAATAAAACAGCACAGAATTTCACAAGTGATTATCAGCAACGTTTTTAAGAAGCATTCATCAAACACAGTAAGATTTTATGAAGTTTGTTCTTGGTAAGAGAGAGGACATATCCCCTTTCCTGCAATAAAGGTCAAGTATTTGAATTAACAAGATGCAGAATCACTTGTTATTCATTGTCTGCTTCTGCAATATATATTTATTGTTCCGCACACGATAATGTACCTGTTTAGTTCATTCATAAAGCCCAATGAGAACAGTTTACATGTTGAATTGCCAGAATAGGTTATAAATGAAGTGTTAAAGCATTATCTCATTTTTTGTCTTTTCATGTGAAATCGTATTAGTTTCATGTGAGGGTGCAGCTTCTTGCTTGTACAGCAAATGTGTGAGGATTTTTTTAATACCCTGCAAAAATGTGATAAGAAGAATGCCACAATTTTCATTCCTTTCATATATGAGTGTCGATGAAAAGTTGGCTAGCAACAGCGAGGGCATTCATATCAAGCTAAATACACCTTACAGTAAATGTACTGATTATGTTAACGCTGAGTCAACAAGTAGATAGGGTTAAGGCATATTTTAAACTTAAATGAAGAATGTGCTTCTTAGTTTTATGAATAATATTAGAAACAGTTTAATGAGTTAAACTGTGTCCAGTACTAGCAAACTAGTATTCTTTGGTTATAGAGCAGAAGTGTCTGTCATAATTTACTCAGTTACATCAGTTAAAATTTCTTTTTGCCATTATTCTGTGATAGAGTCCAATGTAATTTTTTTCTTGTGGAAATAAAAAAAATGTACACCAAATAGAAGTGCTTTGTACTAATGAAATTGAAAGATCATATAAAAAGAGCAAAGAGCATGCAAGCTGTATGTTGGTTTTTCTTATATAAAGGCAAAATATGAAAGAAGTAATATGTAGTTTTTCCAGTTGAAAATGTATATTAATTAGATAATGTTTACATTTTTTAAGGAGGAATAGAAAATTAACCTGCATAATTCAGTATTTAGTGTGGTGGCCAAGAATAGATGCTTTTGATTTATATATATGCAGGTTATGATAAAATACCCCTCTGGTTACAGGACTAAGAAAAAAATATTTTACTATTAACTCCACCCAACATCTTCTATGCTGTCTTCTTCAAAACACAAGATTTAAACTTAATATTCTTACAAGCAGATGCTTGTTTTCATCAAAATATGTGGCAAACTACAGGATGTACCAAAATTATCTTTGCAATTTCAATTTTGAGTAGAATTGAAATTGTAAAGATATTTTTAACACTTTGTATAAAGTTATGAAGGGCTAAATATGGAAGTATCTAAATGTAAGATAAAAAAAAATCCCAGGACCTGACAGCAGGTCCACACACAGACCTGTCAGTCTGGGATATGGTCCCCCGCCATCCTCACAGCCTCCTAGCAAATCAAGATGGAGGGTGGTCAGGGGACATCCAGCTGAAGGTTTTTTTTAAAAAACAAACAAAAACAAAACAACAAATCACTTCTTTATGCCCTGGACCATACATGCGTGCATGCAAATATCTTAATATAAACATAAGCAGATTTGCATGTGTGCATGTACGGTCCAGTGCATAAAGAAGTGATTTATTTTTTTAAAAAATCAATTTGACCTCTCTTTGCCCAAATCTTAATTCAAGCTCTGTTTAAGATTATAAAGGGTAAAATAAAGAGTTTCAGGGAGTTCTAATTGTTCTCTATTTGTGCTTTTGAACTACCTGTATGTTCCTTTGACAGCCCAACCATCTGATGAGCTATTTGGGGCTTTTAAAAAGCACATGTTCTGGAGCAGTCTACGAGTGTAGGGGGGTGGTGGAAAGCACATGTTTTGCATGACTACAGGGATATACAGTCATACAGAGGTGCACTTTATCCAGCTGAATTGGGTTTTAAGGACACAGTTTTAACATATGCATTTTAGTTCTTAACCTGATTTTTTTCTGCACTTTGGCTAAATGTCATTTAGCCACTTCCCCTTTTAACCTGGTTTCTTGTGGGTGTTGCAACATGTGTAAAGAGCCCTTAAAGAAAGCACAAGACCAGTTATTTTACACTGGCTCCCTGGAAATTGCTTCATTCTTGATGTGACTACAATTAATATTATTTTCAGAACAATTTTGTATATATGGATGAAGCATATGACTAGAATTGAATTTGTTCTGCCTCAGAGCTGGAAATATTTGAGTAACTAGTGTATTTGGAAACACAAAAGGAGTATTTGAAGTTGCATTATACAATAATCACGTGATACTTGCTTGACTCTATAAAGTTAGTAGTTTTATAGGGAGAAAAAAAATTCATAGTGCCGAGAAGCAAGTATCACTTGATTCTTATATGATTCAACCGTCCACCAATTCAAGCTATATGTTTGCATATATTTAACATTGGAATTATTTGTTTATTTGTTGGAACTGCTTTAAACTTCAGAGGACCATCATAGCCATTTATGCATCTTCCTATTACTCATGAAACTTTAAGAAAATAAATTTAAGCACAAATATTGGGATTGTTCAGTAAGCCTCATGTAACAACTCTGTAACAACTACTTAATTAAGTATACTTAACTAAGTAACCTCTCCTGATGCTCAACTGTAAAGTTGACAGAAACAGTCACCTGTACTCCTGTCATTGACAGAAGAGACTTTATAGTTTACCTGTGGTTGCCAACTGGTAAAGAAGATGGAATGGGAACATTAGGATCATGGCAATGGTGTCATAATTGTTATTAAGTAGTGATTGTTAATATGGAAGACTTATGGATGGGTGAATCCATAATCACAACTATTATAGTGACACTATTGCCATGATTGTAATCCTTCCTCACTTTACCAGATCTTACGTGCATTGAGAGGAGGTGGTCTATTCTGCCAGCTTTTGGAGGAGGAGTCAATGACATTTCCATTGTGTTTGGGAAAATATTGGTCAATTGAAAGTTAATCTCCTGTATCAGAAAAGCTGAGATGGAATACTAACTGATATTTAAATGTATGCAGTATTTTTTAAAATAGTAAATGTTCTTTGGTATTAAAATTGATGTACCTTCTGTGGTGTTTCAAAAATATTCATAAAGTATTATTTTGTAGATATGTGAAGATATATCTTAAGAATAAAATGACAGATCCTTAGTAGTATAAAATATATATCATTATCAAGAGAAGTTATGCTGGCAGTTAAGACAGATTGAAGGTATATTTATTGAAAGAGAACTGATTGACATTGATTCTTATAGTCCTTTAGAAACATTTAACTAAAATTAAACTGATGAAATGAAAAAAAATAAACCTTTTCCCATTTTTCATACAGAATAGGTTCTAAACTCCAAAGATGCTCATATGTGTCTTCTTTATGGTTTCCCAACATTTGAGCAAGAAATACTGGTTTAATATTTTTGCATCCCCCTTTTATGGGATGAATTAACAGTAGTGAGGGCTCCAACTAATTTATGTATAGTTTTCCCTATATCTTATTATATAATAGGATACTGAACTGGTCCGAATAGAGAGAGGAAACCATTTTGTACTTTTGCAAAGGATATCCATATGAATTCACATTGCTGTTGACAGTAATGTCAGTCATAATGTAGTGCCATGATTGACACACTGTAAAAGCTATTATTAGGTTGTTGCTTATTGTAACTTCAGCTATCCTCAAAGAAATTAATGGCCTTTCATAAGCGGGGTCATGGTATTTGGAAAAACACTAGTTTGAACTACCTCTTATTTTGTTTTCAAACCTTCATATTTAGAAAGTGCTATCTAGTTTTGAATGAGTGGTATTTCTGTGTGATTATAGATATAGAATATATTTGATCTGGGCACTAAAATTATAATTCTATACATCTGGTTTCCTACTCACTGCAACATAAAATATTAAGAACATTATTTAAAATGTTTGCTGTGGAATAAAATTAAGTACTAGTTAGGTTTTTTTAAAAAAAAAACAACCCTGATTATCCTTCTACTTGTATTTTTCATAAGGATCTCGCCTTCGTCAGGAAGACTTCCCACCCCGAATTGTAGAGCATCCATCAGATGTAATTGTTTCTAAAGGAGAGCCAACAACATTGAACTGCAAGGCTGAAGGAAGGCCAACTCCCACAATTGAGTGGTACAAAGATGGAGAGCGTGTGGAGACTGACAAAGATGACCCCCGGTCACATCGCATGTTGCTCCCTAGTGGATCTTTATTTTTCTTACGAATTGTACATGGACGCAGGAGTAAACCGGATGAAGGAAGTTATGTTTGTGTTGCAAGGAACTATCTGGGAGAAGCTGTGAGTCGTAATGCTTCTCTGGAAGTAGCACGTAAGTAATACACATACTTCTCAAACATCATGTAATACTTTGCAACTGTCTTGATTCAAAACAGAGATAAGTACAATTCTGTAATGCATCCCCAAATTTATCTGTTAAGTTGATGTTACATATGAAGTTTATAGACTTGCTCAAAGGTAGGAGTGCTTATCAGTTTTTCTGTAAACTTCTCTATTTGGTACAATGGCTTTGAGTTTTCTCTGATTCATACTAGGATACTTATAATTTTTTGCTGCCTATAACCATAATTGGCACTAGCATGGAAAAAGCCTAATCTTCCCTTCAGGTATAATTTCCTTTTGAAAATGCAGTTAATCTTGGATTTACTACAGCTAAGTTATAAATCTCTATCATTAGGCATACGAATATTGTCTATTTATCTGATTATCTTGAGACATCTATTCTGAAAAGGTGTTTGTTTTTATATTATTAATCTACTGTAGTACAGTTTCATAGTCTTCACATTACCAATACCATAAACTGAAATGATTTAGTGATATAAGGAATAGCTCTTTATAAATAAGATACTGAAGACACCTGAACTCTTAATAATTTCATAACCCTTTTGCCTTAGAAGAAATCCATTATCTCAGATATATGTGAAATGCATTCTAGGTAAAATATGATTATCCCTGTTAATTGTACCAGGTTAATTAAATCAGTAGGATTTTGGTATGGTATCTTGGAGTCGATTTGTTGTGAGTTGCAGTTGTAATCAATCTAAGAAATATTTGTGTAATTTGAACAAAAACAGATTTTTGTTTGACTGTTAAGGTAACTTCTGTGTAAAAGTTGTTTTAGTAAACATTGGTTTTGTTAACGTCTGTTTTGTGGATATTGTTTTTAAAGCAAAAGTGATGAATCTGAGGTTCATATTGGGGATAAGTGTTTCATTACTACTAAGCTGAAAATACAGGGCACACAAAAACCTTTCAAAATGTTACAAGGGTGTACATTTTTGATTGAAATTAGCACCACATTTTATCTCATTTAGCATTTAAAAAGCACATCATTACTGAGTAGAATGGAAATGAAGAGTGGATTGTACATGGCCTTTATCCCTAGTATCTGTAGTGACTTTCTTTAATGTCCTTTCCATCCCTCCTCCTCTTTTGCTTTCCTTCCATTCATTTCTACTCTTTGTTTCCTTCCTTTCTTCTTTTCCTTCCTTCCCCCCTCCCTCCTTCCTTTCCTTTCCTTTCCTTTCCTTTCCTTTCCTTTCCTTTCCTTTCCTTGCCTTGCCTTGCCTTTCCTTTCCTTTCCTTTTTGTCCTTCCTCTTTTCTTACCTTGTTTCTAGCCTCTACCCATCTTCTCCTTTCCTCCTTCTCATTCTCTATTTTCCTTTTTGTTCCATCTTCCCATCCAGGGTTACCTGATTCTTTGATATTACTTTCAATTGCTGGAAGATTTGGGTAGTTAACACTTGTTTTGTTTTTAAAGAAAGAATTCTAAGCAGGCAGCCACTGAAATGCATACTGTTTTGGGCCAAATTACAAAGGGTGTCCTTTTGGCCACTGCACATTACATTTGCCAGGAAATACTTTTATTTTTGGTTTCAGGGTTCTGAAAATTGAGGTGTGCATTAGAGTCGATGGTCAAAAACATTTATCTGGAAAAGACCACTGGTGTTCTGAATATGGTTTGAAAGATTAAAAATGTTTTATGATTAATGTATGTGTTAATTCATGAAGAGTTATTCTGTGGTTTTAGCCTGCCCATAGTTGCCTTATTATTTCTAAGGAAAAAAGTTCATAACTAAGTTGTTAAATGGAAGGATTGATACCAGTCATTATCACACTAGAGCAAAGATTTCCATTAAAAAGTATATATTTAATATTAAATACTTCTGTTTTCTTGTAACAGCTGTATGTCTCTGTATTTGCAATCCCCCAAGTTAAGTTTTAACCACTTCATCTGGTCGTGCATGAACTGAAAGTCAGATAAAAATGTCCTTAGGGAGAAAAAAGGTGGATGTTACTTTGGATAGTTTTTTAAGGGAAAGATCAGAGAACATGAAATCCAATACTAAAACTGTAAAGGGTTTCTCAAATACTACCATGTAACCAATGCTAGATTATTTTACTGTTTTTATAACTTTGAAATTTGAAGTTTGAAGTTAAAACTCCTTAGATTTTACAGGGAAGTTTCCTAGTTTTTCAAATAAAGGTGCTTTTTGCTCTTTGTATTTATTTCTTTTAGTGAAAACTGAGTATGCTTGTACAAGAGGCTCTGTTAAGATAGATTGAATCAAGTTAATAACATAGGTCCTATCAGTAATGCTAGTTTGAATTCCAGTATTGTTGTTTTTTAGTTTTTTCTTTTCTCCTCTTGTTTGCTGGAGAAGTCAGCATGTTATGCAGTTCTGGAGCATGGAATGGGAAGGAAGCAAAGCTTCAATAAGAGGAATAAGTAGAAATAACACAAAGGAGACTAGAAATACCATTTACTTTTACAGAAGGCACATATAGATCCAAGTCACTATTAAACGATATTCAGGAATTTTTGCTATCCTGTTTAAGATTCATTAAATATTTGACAATTTGGGACATAGAAAATGCCTGCCTTTCTTTCATGCCTTTCTGATCCTTTGTTTTATTTGTTCTCATGTGAACTCAGCTGTGCATCCATGTTTCTGGGCATATTTTAACGTGTGAACAGCCATCACTAGTACTGGAATGGAATATCTCCAATTAATACCAGGTGCTTTGGGAAATATTTCAGGGAAAAGAAATAGCAAATTCGCCCTCCATACCCATGGATTCTGTATCCACAAAATCATTGTATATAATGGTTCTTGAGCATTCATGGATTTTGGTCTTCAAAGGGGTCCTGGAAACACACTCCTTGCCTATGAATATCATTCCTTGCCTATGAAAACCCTATGAAATTCATGGGGTAAACCTAAGTTGATAGGCAGCCTGAACATGGACACGCATACACACCTCCCCCGACAACTTTCCAATCTTGTTTTTGTTATCTAGCCTGCAAACAACAAGATTTGGAAAACAGAGCCTTAGCTGGACTTGGAATATGCATCCCTATAGTTTTAAAAACACCTTGGTTTTGTTACTAATTTGAGCAAATGATCTGATCCTCAAAAGAAATATGTTCCAATGAAAGTGACAAAACTTAATTTATTTGAGTTGGCCTATTTATGTGTTCTACTCAGACTGTAATACTTGTTAGATTCCTTCAAGTTTTTAGAAAGACTTTGCAGAGTAAATTTATAAAAATAAGTCTCAGAAGAAAATAAACATATCTGAAGGGATATCATGATAGAGTGATTCCTTTGTACTACACGTACTATAAGTTTACATTCACTGATAGGTTTCATTAGGCCCTACAAGTTATAATGTAAAGTTATTTGTGTTTGCTTTTCTTACTTTCTTTTGAACTTGTATATATTCCTAGTAGGAAATGGTTTATATTTTCAGAGGTAAAATGTTGTTATTTTTATTTGAAACATAATCTATAAGACTTGTAGCAATCTCTAGTGAACTGTCTTAATGGGTTAGGAGCAATGTATGTCATCCTTAACAGAGTTGGAGCCTTTTATCAAGTGCAAATTGATATACCTGAACCACTGATCTGCTGACCAGTGGAAATTATCATGAGGCATATCTTGGCTAAAGTACATAGATAGGATTTCAGTTTTGAGTATGAACTCTCCACATGAAAAGACAGAGCCTGTAACTCATAACACTGACTGAGACTGCCTCTGATCTAGGCAGAGATGGTCATAGCAGCTGTAGCCCCAGGTGTTAAATATGAGACAGCAGTTTGATCTATCGACCACTGTAAGAGGGGCTCTGGCCTAAATGAAAATTCATGAAAAATTGATGAAGTCCCCAGATTATTTTTTTTCCTTTTCCTTTTTCGGTGTTGTGCCAGAGTAGTGGGAAAAGATTAAATGAGGTGTTGAATGCTTTAGTGGCAAAGAGGTTGTGGTTCAAAGGTCAAAAGTCACGAAGAAACTGATCATCCCCCCTCCTTTTTTCTGAAACAAAACACTAGTCACTTATTAGCTTTGATTTATGATTTTTTTGTATTAATTAAAATAAGAACACCTGTAATAATGTATATGTGTTATCTTATTCTAGAGAAAGGGGTTTTACATTTGTGATACCACCCAACCCTAAAAACACCCCACATGCCTTAATTGTTAATTTATCAAGAGAACTAAAAGCAGCACTGAATCTTGTAACTAAAGTCTGAATTTTGACCATTGTTTTTCAGGATTTCCGCCTGTAGCAATTTCATTTAGAGGAAGAAAATGCTCCTGCATTATTAATAGGTCACAGATTGCTGAAATAGCAAGCTCTGGACCATTGTCCAAACATAATGATTCTGCTTGCTTCAAAATTGAAAGCAAATTGATGCTTTATCTGTGATAGTAAGAGATTATAGTCCTTGACTGGATTTAACAAGAACATTGCTATAACATAAACCTCATATTTTGACACAATATGTCTCATCCTGTTTCATGTTCATCTGGTATTTAGCTCCCCCCCCCCTCCCCTGCCAATTTGCACTAGAGTGTATATTGTATCAGTAGGTCTTTCTGGAGAATGTCTATAAATCATCATGTTTCAAGATTTTTTTTAGTATAAGATTTAAAAGGCATTACAGGAGGGAAGTTGCAGAGGGAATTGCCCAAGTCTCTTTTTCTGCCTTCTATGTTACCTCACTCTGGAAGTGTGAATTGCCACAGGCAATGAAGCAGAAAAGAGATGACTGTGGAATATGGTATGTCATCCTCCAATGAGTAAGGACATCATCGCATTGATGGTTTTCTCTGTCTCCGCACACTGCTGGCACACTACTGGCATGGAGTCTACCAGAACCCATCAAATGATGCAGGGCTACTTCTGGTGGGGTTCAGTTGGGTTCCATGTTGGCAGCATGCTAGTGGCACTGAGACACTGAGGAAGCCGGGCACAGCAGGGAAACATTGTGATATAGCAGCCCATGACCAACCATGCAAGAAGAT